GTTTTATAGACAGGCTACCCAGTTCTTAATTTATTACTACTTTCGTCGAAACATTTTTATTTGAGATAGCAAGACGAACTACATTTAAACCTACGGGAATGTTTGAGAACTCTGTTTCAAGCAGTCGAAGGCCTTATTTAATAACAATTATAATGCCAAGTTGGGCTTCTATTAAAAAATTAACTGAAAATTTACGAAAACCACTAACAAGAGTCACGTAATGAACATAGAAATTTCGAGAATAGTTTCGAATATTCGATATACACATACCTACTGTGTACTATGTAACTACCAAGTAACTGCAAGTGATTGCAATTGCAAATTCACAATTCGCTTACCTTCGAGAAATGGTGCTATCTGGGTTATCATCATCGCAGTAGGGTATAGCAGCAGGACGACGATCCAACTGCAACATAGGTTGTTCATCTATTTCTTTCGCACTCTCAACACTGGCACTTCCCAAGACATTAGTTATTGTGGCAGCAGCAACAATGGAGGTTATCATGGTGAGATGGAATAATGATTTACGATACTTCCTAATTATGTTCAAATCGTTCTGAATATCCATATTATAAGGTGTGAAGCCGCAGTGGCCACAAGTGATCGAACTAAGCGTCGACTGCGTGGTCAACGCAGCGCAGTGTGTGGCAGAAGAATGCTCACACCACAAACGACCACGGATTAAATGCAACTTAAGCGACGCGTACACGGACCGCAAAAGGAAATGATTAATGTGAACTGAATAGCGTTCTTTGATAATGGGATAGGTGAAAGAGAAAAGCGTGGAGCACCCAACAACGACAGTGCTCTTTGCTGCATTACTTCAGCTGTACCGGTAATCGACTTTTGTATACCACAAATTCCACAGCGGGAAATTTAAATTCTGAATACAAATTATGCACAATTGTATGTCTATTTTATAGGTAGAAATTAATTAAATATCTAATAAAGGCCACAACGACGAAAACAATACGTCCAACCACAAACTTTTGCAATGACAGCTGTGAAAGAACTGTCAAAATGATCAGGTGGCATAAATTTCCTTTTTCCGCTCGGCTACATTAAGGGTACGTTTGGAAAGATGGTTTTTTTGGGATTGATTTCAAAAATAGTTCCAGTAAATTCGATTAGTTTAAAGGAAATGGCATAATTTTGTTATGGAAATTTTTTAAATATTTAACAAGTAATTTTTACCAAAAAAAAAAACCGACTTCGGGTGGGCTTTAGTAGTCAGCCGCACCTTGTGTTTTAAGAAAACCAGGTGGAATTAACAATTGAAACTTATTCAGCATGTTAAGGGAGGAATCCTCTAAAACATGTATAACTAAAAAATATAAACAATATAATTGTATATAAGTTATTTGTTGTTAAAATTTCTTAAGACGTTCCACTTGATTTGCTTATCAAAGAGTGCATTTGTCACATACTTTCATATATATAAATGCACATAACACTACCTAATTGTTTACACACTTTTATTTTATTTTATCTTGTATATAAATCACTTTAATCCAACCTTTATTAACTTGTAATTACATAACCCCTGCAAAAATCGTTGGACCATGTTGTCTATTTTTTGTTGTTGTTGTAGCAGCATACAAATTCCCCAAAGAGTTTTTGGGGAGTGTTGCTGGAGTGACAGTCCTTGGCCAAATATAAATCTGGGTCGTTCCGGTTACGTAGACCCGACTGTCGTGGGAACGTTGTCTATTTGTGGTATATTGGAGTACTTACAAAAGTGTTACTCTGACATGCTGTAGCGGATCAACTCGTGTCTCTGCACCAGCTTATTGTTTGTTACCCGATAACTGCTCGTGCTTTAACGAATGTGATTGAAGTTGAGCATTTGAAAGCACATTTGCCTGTCTGGCTGTAGCTGAAGGTGTTGTTGTTTTTGTTGTAGCGGCACTACTAAGCCCCGCCTGTTTCGGGTCGACTTTTAATCATTATCGTCAAGCTCAACTAACGGTAGGAACAGGAAACGAGCTGTTTCGATGGGGTCGGACCAAAGGGAGAGGGGTGTTAGTTGAGTCGGATTGAGCTGGCATGTGAAGAGGTGGTTGGTGTCATGGGGGGAGTCTCCACATGCCGGGCACTCATTTGGGATGTTTGGGTCTAGTCTGGACAGGTAGCTGTTTAGGCGGCTACAATATCCAGACCGTAACTGAGCCAGGGTAACGCGGATCTCTCTTGGTAATTGAAGCTCCGTCTCTTCCACAGGTGGTGATTGGGCTCCGATAACGACATTCCTAGGCCGGGAGTCGAGGTAGGTGGAGACAGACTCCCTATGAATGTCGTTGATCGCTCGTCTGTACGTCATTGGGTCCAGTGGTTGGTCTGTGTGGGTCTGGACTGCGTCCTTGTACATGAATAGGTGCCCCCTGACGTGCCTGGGCGGAGGCTCCTCCTCCAGCAGTGGTCTGTTGGGGTGTTCACTTCTGTGGCACCCCACAAGAAACTGCTTACAGAGCATCTTGTTGTGTTCCCTTACGGGGAGCACTTGGACCTCACTGTGTAGGTGATGCTCAGGCGTCATCAGAAGGCACCCAGTCGCTGTCCGGAGTGCGGCGTTCTGACAAGTCTGTAGCTTCGTCCACTGCGTCCAACTAGTCCCCGGTGACCAAACTGGCGCAGCATAATTTAGAACCGGCCGGCCAATTGCCTTGTATGTTGCTAGCAACGTTTCTTTGTCTTTGCCCCAAGTGCTGCCGGCGAGCGACTTGAGGACCTTGTTGCGGCTCTGTACTTTGTTGGCAACTGCGGTTGAGTGCGCGGAGAAAGAGAGCAGGCTATCAAAGGTAACCCCTAAAATTTTCGGGTTGTTCACCGTCGGTATAGGTGTGCCGTCGACGTGAATGCCTAATTCAAGCCTGACCTCCTTCGTCCAGGTGGTGAAGAGGGTCGCCATTGATTTCGTTGGGGAGAGGGTTAGGCTCCTTGCAGTGAAGAAGCGAGAAAGACTGGAGAGATAGTCGTTTACTTTTGAGCAGAGGTCATCAATTCCATTCCCAGACGCCAAAATCGAACAATCATCAGCGTACGAGATCAGGGAAACTCCTTCAAGTGGCTGGGGGAGTTTCGAGATGTAGAAGTTAAAAAGTAAGGGGGAGAGAACACCACCTTGTGGAACCCCTTGTTTTATTCTTCTTGGTTTCGAGGTTTGATCTCTGAAGATTACTGATGATTGTCGACCACTCATATAATTCGCCGACCATCGCTTCAGTCCCTGTGGGAGAGAGGAGGCCTCAATGTCTTCTAGCAGCGTGGAATGGCAGACGGTGTCAAACGCCTTTGACAAGTCCAGCGCTACTAGGACAGTTCTCTCACAGGGGCGGTTTCGACTTAGGCCACGAGTTATCTGGGTGTTTATGGCGTTAAGTGCTGTTGTTGTGCTGTGCACTTTACGGAAGCCATGCTGATGTTTCGCTGGGGTTAGGTGGCAGGTGAAGTATGGGAGCAGCAGGGCCTCAAGTGTCTTCGCGACCGGGGAAAGGAGCGTTATCGGGCGATAAGAGTCTCCTCTGTTGGCGGGCTTCCCCGGTTTCAGCAGTGGGACTACTCTCCCTGATTTCCACACATCAGGAATGATGAGGGTGGTCATAGACAAATTGAGGACCTCCGTGAGGTATGCTACCCCCACAGGCCCCAAATGTTTCAACATCAGCATACAGATTCCGTCGGGTCCAATGGCTTTGGACGCTTTCGCCTTCCCGATGGCCCCCTTCACTTCACCGCTGGTGAAAACAAGTGGTGCATTGTTTTTGGGCAGTTTGTGCAGCCTCCTGGTCACTCGACGTTTGGCCTTGTCTACCGAAGGATGCAGTGTGAATTGCCGACTGAAATAGTTCGCGCATTTCTTCGGGTCCGATGAGGCGTGACCTTCGAATGAAATTTCCACTCTGTCATCACGCTTCGTCGGGTTGGACAAGGACCTCACGGTTGACCAGAGCTTACTCACACCAGAGGTGAAGTTACAGGCCTTCAAGTGCTCTTCCCACTTTGTCCGCTTGTGTTGATTTACCAGTTGCCGAATCTCCAAATTAAGTTCCCTCAAGCGAGGGTCCCCGGGGTCGACCTGGCGTAGGTGGTCACGCTCATTTGCTAGTACAGCTGCTTCAGCCGGGAAATTTGGGCGAACTTCCGCGATACGTCCGGACGGTATGAAGCGAGCTGCTGCGGCTGTGACTACCCTGCGGAACTGGCGTTCGCCAGCATGTACGTCTGTGGGTGTGGGGAGGGCGGCGAAGCTGCTCTCGGTAACTTCCGCGAAGCCGTTCCAATCAGCTTTGTTGAAGTTGGTGTAGGTTCGGTGATCCGCGGGAGCAAAGTCGGTGGGCTTATTGATCGAGATGATTATGGGCAGATGGTCTGATGCTAACGTTAGCATAGGTCGCCATGATATGCTATTTATCAGACCAGCGCTAGCAATTGTTAGGTCTGGCGAGCTGCTGCAGCTGCCCACAATCCTGGTGGGGGCGTCGTCGTTCATGGTGCAGAATCGTCTATCTGCTCAGCCAAACTGTTTCCCCTCCGATCATTGGCCAGGCTTGAGTGCCAAAGATCGTGGTGCGCATTGAAGTCACCTACTACCAATCGATTTTCGCCTCTGAGTAGCGCACCTATGTCAGGGAGATATCCAGCCGGGCAGCAGGTGACAGGGCGTATGTACACGTTAAATATTTCGAGCTCGACATCGCCTGACCGGGCAGCTATGCCCTGACATTTGTCGCGTACACGTGTCGCCCATTTTCAGACCACCATTGTGGTTGCCCTGGCTAGCTCAGCGATTGGGTGGTCGGGATCCTTAACCCTTGCCACAATGGTGCCGGGCGGACGTGGCGGCTCGTTCACTGGCATATCACACCCACAGGAAGCCCACCCATCCATGGACCGCCTGATGTGTCTCCTTGCGGTCTCCCTTTTGCCGTGCTCCAATTCCCCCCCCTTAGCTTACCCCCCTTGTCATCTTCGCCTCCCCTGCTTAAGGGATTAAGTCCACATTTTAAATTCTTTCATATACACGTTAAAATTTATTATAAAACATAGGAATTTACACACAACAAAATGAATGAATTTTATGATCGGTTTCCGGCCGCCACAACAAAAAGGAACCAATCAAATCGATCACCGTTTATACACGTATGTCAAACAAACAATATAAAAACCTGCCACCCTACCTACAAGAGCTCTTTTCGGATGGTGTGAAGGGTTTCCGGGAGCCGGATATTCCCCGCTCAGAAACTACTACAATTTACCCTTTTGTTTGGGTTCTTCTTGCCTGGCGGGCACAAAGACAATAAAAAAAAACGAAAGTATAAATACGTACAAACTTATTAACAAATTATCTACGCAACACAAATGCCTGAACGTATATATTACAAATAATGAAATGTTCAAAAAAATTAATATTTCTCGGACTATACTTGGGACGCGCAGTGTATCATCTAATCCCAATGATTGGGTTATAACATGCCGGTGGTGGTCTCGACTGACCCCTTACACAAACCGGAAGGCTGAATCTTTGCTCCTCGTTGCGAGCTTTAAAAAAAATCCTTTTGGGTAGATATTTCCCTCGCGCAAAAGCTTTTGCATAGAATTTTATGATACTTAAGCCTAGCACTCACCAGCGAACTGTGCCGTACCCTTTTCGCCTTCACTCTGGCGTGGTTCACCTTATCTCCTGGCACACTAGGGACACACAAAAATGTTCACTAACACCTGACAAAATAAATATTTTCGTCACTTACGTGTCGCTGGGGGGGGGCGGGTTCTTCCACGGGTTTTGTGCTTTGGGCCTTATATGGTCGTCACCGCTGATGGCCAATCCTCCTGCCTTGGCAAGTATAATAAAGGCTTCTCCCTCTTCTTGCCTCTGATGACCACGTTCTCCCGGGCGCTTAGAGGTGATCGTGGGCTCTTCGCCTACACTCCTCACAATTTATTTATTTTTTTGTTTTTACAACTCGCGACTTAAAAAAAAAATGCATTTAGCATTTATTTTTATTTCACTAAAGAAAATTTTTGGACTTTACTGGACTTTTTTTAAAAAAAAGACAAGGCTCAACTAGCGCGCACTGTCTGTACGTTGCAATGACACCGGCAATTCTTTTCTTACGGAACTCAGCCGACCCCTTTTATACGCTATTTGTCAGGCCTCCATGTCTTCTAATCACCGTTCTTTCCGCTTTCTTCATTGTTCACGACCCGGCCAATCGTGGTATCGCGCACCCTATTGCTATCCCTCTCCACGGGATTTTCCCCAAACTCTCCAAACTACAACTTTTCGTCTGGCAACATCTGCCCATCAAAAGCTTCATAATTTCCCTTTTGACCTTCTGCTTTGTTTGACGTTTCTTCATGAGAACAAAAAAAAATAAATGGAGCGCTGGGTAAGTAAATGAAACATGGAATTTTAATTTTAATGATTTATTATCGGCATTAACTCTTTTCAGGTGGTCCAGGGATAGCTACTGTGGTATTTAGGCAAACGCCCAACGTGGGGAACACCCATACCCTGACACATTCTAGGGTAGTGTCCCTTGGGTCGATGTCTTCTTCGATTAGCCGATACTGCACTGTGTGGTGTAGAATGAACGCTAGTCCTCCACCATTATCTCGCTCGCGATCTTTACGGAGCATATTGTAGGCGGCGCAACCCAACAGAGTTGAGTTGCTGTGCAACTTCGTTTCTTGGACCGCAGCTATCAATATGCCGTGCCGACCCATGAAGACTGCTATCTCCTCAATCTTGCTCTGGAGTCCGTTGCAGTTGAGTTGGAGTACGTTCATATGCCTTGGGAGGCTGGTCGCGATACGGGGGGTGAGGGAAGTGTGGGGCCTACCTTGGGCCTGTTGCGCCTGACGCAGTTGCTGTTGCAGCCTGATGGTAGGTGGCTGCGATATGGGCGTTGTCTGCGCCGGCGGTGCACTACAGCAAGGGGCGCTGTAGTTTGTTGTCCACTCGCGAGTGGTGCGTAGACCAGAACATAGCCGGAAGTGGCACCAGCCAAGCCATATGTTGCATTTGACTGATGTCACATTCCGGTATATTCTGTTCTGGCACACGGAGCAGATGGTGTGGGCAACCAGTAGCTGCTGGTTGACTCGCGCTCGCGAGTAGGACCGGTCGGTAGGTTGTGTGGTTGGGGGGTGTTGGGAGGTTTGCTGTTGCTCAGGGGAGCTTCTAGGGGCTGTGCAGGCTCTTCGGGTGCTGGGTCGCACCCGTGCATTACGCGAGTGGGTAGCCGTGGAGGCTGATTGTGCCATTTGGCTTGAGCAACAGGGAGCCACAAAGTTTGTGGTCCACTCCCGGTGAGACCTAAGGCCAGAGCAGGTTCTTAGGTGACTCCACCCGTTGCAGGAGTTGCACCTAACCGAAGTGGAGTTCGGGTGGAGTCGATTCTGGCATACACAGCAGAAGTAAATTTCAGGTCCGGGGTTGGGCTCTACGCCCGCCCGGAGAAGAAGGATGCGGAGCAATCCGGCTGCAAGGTATTGCTCCATGGACGGATAATGATTGGTGGGTATCGCCGATCTAGACGGGGTTAGATCGCCGAAACAACAGCCCTTGGTCGGGTGAAACCCGAGTCATTCCGGTACGTAGAACCGGCTGTCGTGGGAATGAGCTGAAGGTGTAGAGGTGTTCGCTGTTAGTTGTTAGCATGTTCGGGTTCGAATGCCGTCATAGGCAACATGTAATTTTTAATTTTTGTTTTTGGTTTTTATTGATTTCGAAAAAACATCTGAGAAGTGAAGAACAAAAGCGTGTACAAAAAAAATATAACAACAATGCTATTGTTAATATGTTGGAGTAGGTTTGTGCTACTCTGATGTAATGCAGGGATGGAGTATATGGTCCTGCCCTAGGACATCGCAATGTTAATTGGGCCATATTCTTTATATGAATTGTGGTTAATTTTGGTGTACTCCTTGGTCCTTAGGGAGTTCTCTTTACACGCATGCATGGAGTAGTCGCGATTTTTGCAGGGACATTGCACCCAAGAATGATAGAATACAAGATTGCGCCGTCCTGGGCGTTGACATTTGTGTACCACAAGTAAACAAAGAATAGAGCGAAAAGAAGAACGAGTTAAAACTTCCAAAACAGTTCACTTTACAGCGAAAAACGTGTTTTAATTTAGCTGAACGCGAAAATATTGCATTTTTCACCTAATCTATTAGAGAATAGGTAACATTTTAGTGCACTCCATTGCTTTGCAATTGAGGCTGCTTCAGCAAACGTTTTAGTGCACTCCATTGCTTTGCAATTACGACTGCGGCAGCATCTCCGCGGGATTGATTAGTTAACTTGCTAATGGAGGCTGCTTGGAGCAGAAGCACACTCATTGTGAGGAAATGCTGTTAATCTATATATATAAAATTCAAATTATGTATGTACCTATAGACACACTTGGCTCCTAAACGAATAAGCCGATCGTAACCAAATTTTACACACGCACTGGATATCTTCCAGGGATGGTCACAGGGTAAAAAATATTTTGATATATAAAGGGGGCGTGGCCCCAAAACGTGGACCCGGGTAACCTTAGGATGTATTTGTTTAATATGGGTATCAAATTAAAGCTGTTCATGAGTGCTTTAAGATAGAGCAATTTTCATATAGCTGGGTGACTAGGGTCTCGAGATATAGACCAAAATGTGGACCTGGGTAACCTTGGGTGTATTTGTTCAATATGGGTATCAAATGAAAGCCGTTCATGAATGCTTTAAGATTGAGCACTTTTCATATAGCTGGGTGACTAGGGTCTCGAGATATAGACCAAAACGTGGACCTGGGTAACCTTGGGTATATTTGTTCAGTATGGGTATCAAATGAAAGCTGTTCATGAATGCTTTAAGATTGAGCACTTTTCATATAGCTGGGTGACTAGGGTCTCGAGATACAGACCAAAACGTGGACCCGGGTAACCTTAGGATGTATTTGTTTAATATGGGTATCAAATTAAAGCTGTTCATGAACGCTTTAAGATAGAGCACTTTTCATATAGCTGCGTGACTAGGGTCTCGAGATATAGACCAAAACGTTGACCTGGGTAACCTTGGGTGTATTTGTTCAATATGGGTATCAAATGAAAGCTGTTCATGAATGCTTTAAGATTGAGCACTTTTCATATAGCTGGGTGACTAGGGTCTCGAGATACAGACCAAAACGTGGACCCGGGTAACCTTAGGATGTATTTGTTTAATATGGGTATCAAATTAAAGCTGTTCATGAGTGCTTTAAGATTGAGCACTTTTCATATAGCTGGGTGACTAGGGTCTCGAGATACAGACCAAAACGTGGACCCGGGTAACCTTAGGATGTATTTGTTTAATATGGGTATCAAATTAAAGCTGTTCATGAATGCTTTAAGATAGAGCACTTTTCAAATAGCTGGGTGACTAGGGTCTCGAGATATAGACCAAAACGTGGACCTGGGTAACCTTGGGTGTATTTGTTTAATATGGGTATCAAATGAAAGCTGTTCATGAATGCTTTAAGATTGAGCACTTTTCATATAGCTGGGTGACTTGGGTCACGAGATACAGACCAAAACGTGGACCCGGGTAAACTTAGGCTGTATTTGTTTAATATCGGCATAAAATGAAAGCTGTTATGTCAAAAGTATGCGGAAGCAAATAAAAAAAAAAATAAAAAATTCATGAATACCGTTTTAGTGAAAAATAAAATTGAGTAATGCGGACAGTTCTTTAATCTTCTTTAATATAAAAATTAATATAAAAATAAGTAGGGTTTTCCTTCCTGACGCTATAACTCCAGAACGCACGAACCGATTTTCACGGTTTTGCATTCGTTGGAGGTTTATAGCTAGGAAAATTCAGGAAAAATTTCAATAGAAAAGTATATGGTGTGTGAGTATCCCCCACGAAAATAAGTATGTTTCATTTAAAGTAGATGGTGCCATTGTTTAACAGCTATTCATTGTACTTTGCTCAGTTAATTTCATGTGACACTAGCGAATACCCGGCGTGCTTCGCTGCGCCTTAAAAGTAATTTTGTTTTGTTACTCCCTCTCACAACATTTGAAAATATTATTTAATATTGCTGTACATATTTGTATAGTAGGGAGATTTTTTCAAATTATATAAATATACGTTATTTGAATATTGAATCAATACACGTTTGAGGAAAGGGTGCCATAGTAGACTCCAGTTATAAGATTATAAATTAAATTTCCAAGAGAAAGTCGGTTCTTTACATATTTTCTAATTACCTTCGAAAATATATTAACTCAAAAAAAAAATAAACAATGCTTCATAGATCGATTTTTTTAAATCTAACTTCATAAAGTTCTTTAAAAATATTTTGTAAATGAGGCCATAAGAGCTTAGGGGGAGAGTTACAACACAAAAATACATTTAAGGCGCAGCGAAGCACGCCGGGTAATTGCTAGTGTAATAATAAAGAAACATTTCGGGAACGGCTTTGCCGTGCCCTATGTACACAAAATGCAGCGATTCGTCCCAGCGCTACACTTGCATCTACGCATCTTGCATCTTGACGGTTGTCGCAATTTAACACACAGCACTTCATTTTATTAGTTTTTACGCAGTCTTCAACTCAAAAATCACTCACAATTTGCAAATTAACACAATTTAAACTGATTTTTCACATATAATTAAATTTCTCTCTCGCTGATTTGTAAACAAAGGTTTGTTTACAAGTTACCACAACTGTCAAAATCGGCAAAACCAAAGTAGCGGTACCACTGACGGCGCCACATCTGTTCGCTGCACCGTGCATTGCACCCATATTTACAATCATGATACAATAACACATGGTTGCAAACTGACACATAAGATGTGTTGCCATACCGTACAAAACAATACAATAGAAAGAACTCTACGTAGTGAGGGTTACAATCCCTAAGTGCGGCCACAGGCCGCCTACGCAGAAAGGTGTTCTCTGCAAAAGGTGTTCCGCCCCCTTTTTTCGGCAACACAGAAAGGAGAATTCTACGTAGTGAGGGTTATAACCCCTAAGTGCGGCCGAAGGCCGCCTACGCAGAAAGGTGTTCTCTGCAAAAGCTGCTGAGCCCCTCTTCTTTGGCAACACAGAAAGGAGAATTCTACGTAGTGAGGGTTATAATCCCTAAGTGCGACCGAAGGCAGCCTACGCAGAAAGGTGTTCTCTGCA